CGAGGACTCAGAGATGGAAGAGATGAGAAAGTGAACTCTTTCAAACGTCTCTCTAGGTCCAGAGAGATGCTGCTTTTTCTCTATAAGTCCTGCTGGCATGCTAGGCTAGCGATGGCTGATAACAGAAGGCCACAGCTGCAGCAGAAGGGTGGCCAAGTGACCTTGGAGTGGTGGAGATGGAATCTCCAGTGGGAAGCACAGAGGAAGACAGAGTTAGTGCCTGGACATTAATGGGTGTCCAGAAATAACAAGGACTCTTAAAATAATAAACATAGTTGGGATAGAGACTAGACATTGTAGAAACAGAAGGATTCTGATGTGGAAGCTGTGCAATATTGACTAGATCTGCCCTTTGATGGGAAAAGCGTCAGTGGCCTGTCCCAAACCAAGAACTGTGGGATCAACAACTGAGTTCAAAGCAAAGGGTGGAGAGCAGAGGAGGACCTTTTATTCTTTGCACCAACACTAACATATTCCTGGAGAAGCATGAGATGGAGCATTCTCTGGCTTTGGTTTGGACTGACTCCAGTCAGTACCAGAAGGAAGAGATAAAAACACAGTATTGCACATGGATGATCATACTGAGACAGACCTGGTTTGTGGTAACAGATACAAACAGGCGAGGCAGGGTGAATGATATCAGAGACCAGTGACCTGGAGCATACAGTGGTTTTGCAAAGCACTGCTTGGTGTGCCAGCCTCCTACATCACATCATGTGGGAGCAGCCCCCCTGTTCAGACCAGGGCTATGACTGCCCTGCAGTCTCCACTTACACTGTACCCACATCCTACAGGAAAATGTTTCATTTAAAGTAGGAAAACAGAAGGGGAACTTCCTTCTCTAAAACAGGTGACAGATGCTTCCAAGATGCAGCCTGAGAAGCAAAAGATGGTTTTCCATTCCTTTTTTGTAACAAGAAGGAAGAATAAAATAATAGTAAGCTGAAACATCCATCAACAATGGACCTGGGAAAAGGGCTGTCAGACTTGGGAGAGGCACTTACTCAGAATGATTGCAATTTAGCAATCCAACACCAGGATGTTTCTCAAGAGATTCAGTCTATTTCCAGTTCTGCCACTTACCTACTGTGTGACCTCCAGCAAGTTCCTTCATCTCTCTTTGACAGGTTGCCTCTTGCTCTTTTTCTGTCTTATCTATTAGATCACAAGCTGTATTGTCCCCCCTCAGGCACAATCTCATAGAGAGAACTTGCTTAAACTAGAAGACCTGAATCTGCATGGGGCTTCTTGTGGTTGCTGCCAGGCAGATAACAAAACTAGGCAGCAACCAGGACCTTGAGGGACAATGCTTTCACTATATTGACATCTCACAACCAGCCATAAGCTTGCAGGCTGCATCTCATCTAAAGCTCTCTGCTTACCTCAAAATCATAATGCACCATTTGTAAAATGGGCTCTCAAACACCCACCTGGTCTTAGGGAGTTTGAGGAAGGCTCAAACACAAGCTCATCCTACAAAGGGTGCGACAGCAGCTGAAAGTGCCATTAGCAGTGAGACTGCTCTTCACATTCAGAACGAAACCCCATAAATGTCCTGGTTGGAGCAGCTGCTTGGCTGGTTACTGTGTGAAGCCACTTTACTGCATGTGGCTGAGAAAGTTCAGAATGTGCATAATCACAGGACACCCCACTGCCACATGCATGGGCACACCACAGCACAAAGGCAGACAAAGAGAAAGAAAAAGGGAGCAGATCCTCTTAATTTCTGCATGGTAACATACCATAACTCTTTATATCAGCATTAACAGGGAACAAAATTTGGCCACAGGGGATTCTAAGTCAGGCAGCCTGAAACAAGAGATACGTAAGGATTTTACAGAGTACGGTATTAGAGAAATACCATATTCTGGAGAAAGCCCTGACTGTTTAGACTTCCAGAAAAATAAGGTTGGAGAGGTTCTAGGATGCACTTCTGCATTAAAGCTTAACTTTAAAATCACATAGTCCACTTTTTTTGGCTTGTACAAAAGCTATTACTGCCTTAACAGCTTGTTTATTAAAATGCATTTATTCTCTACTTTCAGCAAAAGCTTAACTTTGCCATAGTCCTCTCATATTAAACATTCTGGGGAGGCAGTCATGGTTTTGGATGGCTATGCAAAAGTAATCATGATCAAGCAAGCTCTTTCTGTCTTTTACAAATCTCTCCTGCCCTCTGTACACAAGACAGAGGCATCACGATGGCTTTGAGGAGTTCCTCTTTTGGAGGAGATGCTACAAAGACAAATTTGGATCCTACGAAATACCAAAGGAGCAGTACTAAATTGTGACTGTTAGCTCAGAAATTACCTAGTGTTTCTGACTCACAGTCACATTTAGTGGACAAGCAGGTTGGCCTGAGCCTGTGCACCTCCATGCAGTGAGCAGGCCTTGCTCATGCAAGCAGTCCAAGGCTCAACCCTATGGACCTCAGTCAGCAGGAGATCCTCATCTTCTGCCCCTGCTGATCTCGGTGCCAGGCATATCAGCAGGGGTCCTTGAATAACTGAAGCACCTTGCAGCTTTTAATGGTGTCACCAGGCTACACCTGACTCAGCTAACTCTAGCCTTTTCTGACAACTTAGTAAAATAATTCATTACTATTAATGGAGGGGATGGAAGGGGGGGCTTGTTTTGTTTTGAAATCCAATTATACAAGGATTTGGAGAGAAATCCACGAACTGCAAGTGAAAACTAAGGAAACTCTCGTTGCTAACTGTGGGACTGTTTCCAAGACTGATTTTTCTAACCATGTGATCACACTGTACAATGAACATTTTGGGTGTGCAAAACAGTAGTGACATTGTTATGCCTCCAAGAAAACTGTCTGCTTCTGTTCAGCCACTCGTTTTCATCCTTCTCTGCAAAAATACAGATAAGTTACATATAAGATGCTCATTAAAGAAAGGGATTTTATTCCCACAGCATTGCTTCCTTTTGTCACTCCTATATTCAAGAAGATGGAAGATCCAAGGAACTACAGGCTGGTCAGCCTGACCTTAATTCCTGGGAAGGTGATGGAGCAAATAACCCTGGGAACCACTTCTAAGCATACAAAGGACAAGAAAGTGATTGTGAGTAGACATATAGATTTATGAAGGGGAAATCATGTTTACCCAGCCTGATAGCCTTCTATGATGAGGTGGACTTGCTGGATGAGGGGAGAGTGACAGAAGTTGTTTACGTTGACTTTAGCAAGACTTTTGGCACTGTCTCTCAAACATCCTCATAGACAAACAGAGGAAGAACAGACTAAATAAGCGGACAGTGGATTGGACTGATAACTGGCTGAACCGCTGCACTCCAAGTCCAGCTGGAGGCCAGTCACTAGTGGTTTACCCCAGGGGTCAATACTGCTTAATGTCTTTATTAATGAACTGGATGATGGGGCAGAAGGCACCCTCAGCAAGTTTGCAGCCGATACAAAACTGGGAGGGGTGGCTGATGCATCAGAGGGTTGTGCTGCCATTCAAAGGGACCTGAACAGGCCAGAGAAATGTGCAGGCAAGAAACTCATGAACATCAACAAAGGGAAATTAAAAGTCCTGTGCCTGGGAAAGAATAACCCCATGTTGGGGGTACATGCTGGGGCTGACCAGTTGGAAAGCAGCTTGGCAGAGAAAAACCTGTTGATCCTGGTGGACACCAAGCTGAAGTCCGCAATGCACCCTTGTGGCATCGAGTACCAACAGCATTCTGGGCTGCATCAGGAGAAGCTTTGCCACAAGATAGAGGGACATGATCCTTCTCTGCTTATCACTTGTGAGACAAATCTGGGGTGCTTGGTCCAATTCTGGGCTCCTCAAGTACAAGGAAGATAGGGACTTCCTGGAGCAAGTCCAGTGAAGGCTCACAAGGACGATTTAAGGGACTGAAGCATCTGACAAAGAGGCTGAAAGAGCTGGGATAGCTCAGCCTTGAGAAGAGAAGATACAGGGGGATCTTACTGATATGTATAAATACCTGATGGGAGAGGACAGAGAAGGTGCAGCCAGACTCTTCTGAATGGTATCCATTGAAAGGACAAGAGGCAAGACACAAAATTTTAAATTCAGAAATTCCATTTAAACCAAAGCATGTTTTTTTACTCCGAGAGTGGTCAAACACCAAACAGGCTGTTGAGAACGGCTGTGCAGTCTCCAATCCTTGGAGGTATTCAAGACCCAACTGGACATGGTCCTAAGCCTCCTGCTCTAGCTGACCCTGCTTTGAGCAGAGGACTGAGGACTAGATGATCTCCAGAGAGATACTTGCCAACTTCAACAATTCTGTGATTCTCCAGTCTTTTTTAACTTTGCATTCACTCAGCGATTGTAATCAAGAACCTTTCCTCCTTCCTACACTGCTGAGTGGTATCCAGCTAACAGCAACAGTGACTTCCCTCTAGGACTTCATGGCATCTCCTGCTCTTCCTTCTCAGAAGAAAACTTGCAACAACTTTTGGGGTGAGGAGGTGGCTCTTTTATCATTTGGGAAGTAAAGGATGGTTTCATTGGTGTTGGGTAGTTTCTCCTCAAACAGGAAAGCTTTGCAGTGTTTCCTGATGATGGTCACGCTCTGAAATATCCAGTCATTTAACAGCTTCCTTCACCTTCCAGTGTGTTAACAGTTTAGTAATGCTAGAATTTTTCTAACCAAAAGCCCTACAGGTCTGCTCTATCCTTTACTTTCCACCTATGTGTTTATGCCCTCTGGCTTATTAAAAACAGCATCATTTTCCTTATTTGGAATATATTCAAGTGCGTGAAAATACAGTATAGAGAGTTAGCTTATTTCAGCACAGCCTTCTGCCTTTAAGGATGAAATGGAAATATCTGTCCTCCAAAGGATGGGGAATGTCCACTGACAATTAACTGCTACTTCTCCTAAATCAGAGCAAACAGAGCAAAACTGTTTCTTCAATCCACAGAATTTTGGACTTCATTTTTTCTCCCTACATAGATGTTTTATTTAAAACATTAAATAAATAGATAATCATGTTGAACAAATGTAGGACTTACGTATGATCCATAATTCACTGCTAGGGTCTGCAAAGCCCATGGGAGGCCTAGGCCAATTAAAATATCAAAAACATTGCTTCCGATGGAGTTGGACACAGCCATATCTCCCATACCTGCAGGGATGGAAACCATGTACAATCAGACATGACTCAAGGAAAGTTTTTCAACTTTTAAACAGAAATACATTAATCTGAACTAATCCAGACAATTTCCATGGATTAAGGCAAAGAGTTAAGGGGATCTCTCTTATCCCATCCTTTCCCTTTCCTCTTTACTCTTCCCATCATACAAGGCAAGCAGTGTTGAAGGGACTGAATCCACCTTCTAGGATTATCTGAGAACTTCCCTCAACTAATCCTCTGCTGCTGTGGGGACCCTGGCCACTGGCTGTGGCCTGCTGGCACTCTGATGCCATATTCAGTGGGGCTTTTGATGCTTTACTATAACCATGATACACGGATACCTATACCATACTGATTAGATTAGGTCTTTGGGTAGTCTATTAAGTAGTTGGTTGTTTCAATGAAGAGCCACTGGTTTTGATCCTAAAAGAAGTACTGACAACTTTCTTTTTCTCTTAAAACACCTGTTGCTGGAGTCACAGAAGTGGGAGAAAAAAGTTCTCCTTAAACACAGTATTATCTTCCAGACCTTACGACTGTGGAGAAAAGCTGGAAAGTGACCTGAGAGACCCTTATGCCATGCTCTAAATAATTCTATACCACTGATAATTAAATTAAGAAAAGCGTTGTGACTTTTGAGGAAGGCTTGAAGTTGACAATTGTGCCAAAACTTGTTCCACACTGTCATTAAGAACCTGTTAGCTGCTTTGCAACAGCAATGTAATTAAATTCCTTCTTTGATCTTGTTTTAAATTTCAGCCTCAGGAAATGGGCTCTGTATATTTTCACATTCAGAACATATCTGTTCTACCTAAAGAGGAAGAGGCCACAAGGAAACACTTCGATAGCAGTGTGACATCTCTGTGATAAACCTACCTTGCCTTGCTACGATAAGGCTTGCCATGCAGTCTGGCACACTGGTTCCAGCTGCCAAGAAAGTGATGCCCATGATCACATCTGGAATTCCCAGAGTGTAGCCAATGATTGTCACCTAAGGAGAGGAAATAAACAGTCAAAGTGTTTACAAGAATTAAAATCAGAGACCAGCCTGGCCCAGTTCTGCAGAGTTTATTGCTCAGTGCAAACTCACTCTTTAAAGTGACAGCCTTTTTTGGTATACTGATCACCTTGCAGAGGATAGCACTGATCTGCTAGATAGCCTCTTTGTTAGCTGCTTTGTACCTTTCATCCACAATTTTCCTGACACTACCCTGTGTAACAGTCTCGTGATCTTGGCTGAAGTTTGTAGACATTATTATACACAAATAATAGTTAAGCAGACACTAAAGCAACCCCATGGTTCATTATACTATGAAAATGCCATATGCAAGGACATATCCCCAAGTGACTGCAAACAAATCCTATTGGCAGAGAGGAGATATCTTTAATTTCCTCTTTCCTTTGCTATGCAGTCTATGATAAATTAGTGCTCTTCAAACTGATTTATATTTTTAAATTTTGGATGCTTTTGTCTAATGATGCCCATTTCCTATTAGCCACATTTAATTGCTCTTGTGAACTCTCTGCAGCATACTTCAAGAAATGTGAACCATATGTTAGAAGCAGCAGAGTGACCCTGTGGGCTCTGGTATTTCAACTATGGAATGCTGGGATACCTTTCTTCTTGAAAAACACCTCATCCTTGCAGATGAAAACCAGAAGAAAGCAAGTAAATTTCTACTTCTGTTCAGGGTAGCATGGATTATTGAAAACAAAACAAAATAAAAAGTGCTCTCCTGTAACTGCTTTGATTAGTTCACAGGGAAAAGCCTGGCATACATTTTTTCATTTAATACAAAAATGAATTGTGAAGGCACTGAAGATTTTTTTGTTGCCTCCTGCTTCCCAGCAGGGAAACTGTGGCCAGTGTATTAGAGGGTATCTCCATGCTCTTCATGTCTCATGCAGACACAGACCATGAATCATGCACTCCATCAGACCACAACCCAGGCTTCCCTTGTTAGACCCTCTCCTGATGCCAATGCTCCATCATTGTCTGAGTCTGCTTAAGAGTAACATACAGACCACCCCAAAAGAAACACAATCCATGCTGCGGTGTAACTGTAATCCTAATGAGGACAACTTACACTTTTCACCTACACATATAGTGTAATGAGGCCTGCAGCAAGCTAAGAGGCTCAGTGACCCAGCCAGTGCACAAAACTCCCCTGTGAATAGGCCAACTATGCTTGGATTTCCTTGTGTGCATTTTTATTTACCCCCTTCCACCTTTAGGGTAATGAGGTAGAATTAAGTTCTTATTGACTAGAGTAGTTGTGCAAGGACTTGTCTGAATGTTATGCTTTTGTTCATGCTGTGTTCAAAGTGTTATCATTCACAACTCTGTCTCTTAAGCTTGCTTGCTCCAAGAAAAGGAAAAGTCATTGAGGCCAGATTCTTACTAGCATCAGGGCCTCTTTATACTACCCTGCACAATAAAGTGGTGTTAAACTGGTGCAAGCATAGTTTTTTCCCACATTAAAGAATCTGTGTGAAATTCCAGCCCCGAATCAAGTTCAAAGGCCATGTCTACTGGCCTCTAATTTTATTCTCTCAGTGTGGACAGGTCTGACAGAAATGGAAGCAGATTTAAGGTTTCTCATCTGAAAAACCAGGCATGTAGAATTTCTACACATTTCTCTAAGCTGACAAAACCCACTTCTGTTGCCTCTCCCAGGCTGTGGTTTCTGCTTTAGTTGGTACGTACCATCCACACCATCATGTAGGAGAAAGCTGCAATCCAGAGGGTAGAAGAAGCAAAGGTAACCATGAACCATTTTTCCAAGTGGGGTTTGTTACAGTTGGGCACTGTGAAGTACAGGACAAAACTCAATGGCCATGTGAAGAGCCACTTCAAGATTTCTATCTTGCCAGCTGTAAAACAAAAAGGGAAACAATCACAAGTTTGCTTTAGTCCAGAATGTAATTATTTTTTTAATATTAATGTGAGCAAGATGCCAGGGACACCTCAGCCTAACTGCTACCCAAACAGATAATAACAAAACATTCCTTGTTCAGAAGATCACAGTGTGATGGCAGAGGTGGGAGGGCAGAGGGACACAGGGAATGAGTATGCCTTCATGAGAGTTTGTTAAGTAATAGGTCAGAGCACACCTGTGACCCTTCCTGGGTCAAATTTTTATAGGTACAACATAAAGTTCTAGAAAGAGATCGGATCCATCTTCAACCACCTAATGGGAGGGTACAGAAAAGGTGGAGCCAGGCCCTTCACAGAAATGCACAAGCTAATTAAAAGAGCTGATGGACTCAATTTGCAATAAGGGAAATTCAGAATAGATGCTACCATAAGTTGTGCATTTTCTTTTTTTTTCCTACCATGAGGGTGGTCAAACACTGGAACGTACTCAGAAAGACTGTGGGATCTCCATCCTCATAGATAATCAAAACAGAACTGTATGCAGCCTTGGGCAACCTGCTCTGAGCAGCGATTTGAACCAGAGATCTCCAGAGGCCAATGCCAACCTTTCCCATAATACAAACCTAGTATCATGGTCCACAGGACATCTAAATTACTCTCTTCAAGGCTCAGTTTATTAACTTACTTGAACTACAGCTATGCTGTTTGAGTGAGGAGATCTGAACAGGAGTTCCCAAAAATGTATCTCATCTGTAAGGGCAGGACCAGTCTCTGCAGTATTCTGGCTTGTCTGCAACACAGCAGATTTTGCCAGCTGTGGCAAGTGTGAGTCAAAATAGGACAGGGATATGTTATAATCATCCCGGGACTAGAGTCATGATGGGAGCAAGAAGGACTTTGCAAAAAGATCTCCATCCTGCAAGCACACTGCTCAGCTACTGGAGGTGCATGCTGTTTTTGACAAATCATGTAGCTGTTCTGACTTCCTAAGCCCTCCAGAGTGAGAAGACACTGTGGCTGTACCTAGTTAACAGCAGGAAGCAGAGGTGCCCAGGACCTTCTTTTGTCTCCGCTCCCAATCAGCATCACCATTGTTGTGTCTGAGCTAGCACTACACCTTACCACAGAGGTAAAAGCGCACCTCCAGCAAAGGTAAGGCATAGATGCAGACGTAACTGACCTGCGTTCAGGCACCTTGCCAGTGTCCCCACCATACTCAGCAGTCAGAAAAGAGAGATGGGTCTCTCCAGAGGGTGACCCAGGTTTTGGACCAGGAACCACCTTGTGGAGATTGCTGCCTCTCCCCTCTGCCCACAGCGGCAGCGCCAGGTCAAGGCACGAGCTGCAGCAGAGGTGTGTTCAAGCTCAGGAGTCTGCATCCCGAGAAGTTCCTGTTGCTTCCCAGTTCATCTCATCTTTTAAATGTGACCAGGAAATGCACTGCGAGGTGCAGGCTGATTGGAGCTCTCAGACACTTCTACCTTAACATGCATCTGCGATGCTTTCTGGCACACCCAAACTGAGTTTTGCTTTCTGGAACAACACAAACCCAGGAGCTTCTTACTGGGTAGGTCGAAAGGTGTGTATGGCCCTTCATGGTCATCATCGTCATCATCTTCTTCCTCTTCCTCATCATTTTCATTGTTCTCGTTATCCTCATTCTCATTCTCTGTCTCGTTTCCAGCCTCAGCCATGTCTTCGTCCCGCCGTGTGCCGTTCACGCCCCGGTCGGCAGAGTTGCTGGGGCCTGTTCCATTCTCAACCACGTGCTTGACAGGTATTTTGATTGCTACTTCTGACTCACCATTGGTGTAAGTCCTACTGTTGATCAGCCTTTGTCTCTGTAAATATAGGCACAAATTCTTGCTGAAAGACATATTTTTAAAAATTTACTTTTTTTTTAAGATAAAGGGAGGAACAGAGAGAGATGTGCAGTTTTTAAAATTTGGCTTTGAAAGCAAAAGGGATGAATTTTGATCAGGTATAATGTTATACTTGCTTGCAGATGACTAGATGAATCTCACATATTAAGAGAAGGACCAGTCGCTGCAGAATTGACTCCAGGAGTACCCCAAGACCAGAGGCAGACTAAGTGCAGACTCAGTGGAATACCGTATTATTAAATAACTGCAAGTGATATTAAAGTCAGATCAATGCAGGGGGCATCTCCTGTGAGCAACAGCTCCAGGTAACGTAACCACATAATGACTTAAAACTTTCTCTGCTAAAATCTCCATGGGGACAGATAGCAAGGGATGATTTAGTAAAGTCACTGACAGAAGGATAAAATCTGGGAAAATGCTATCAGGGATCCAGAAGACATGCAAAAGTTCAATTTTAACCAAAACACTGCTACAGCAAAAAGCAAATTCAGAAGGAGAAGGGGAGGAGGGGGGAGATAAAAGACACACCTCATTGATTAACATGCGGCTGGCCATGGAGAGACGTGTTTTGGGAGGGAAGTGGCTGGTTATCATGATCCGGAGGCCAGCCTCAGAAAATGAAAGCTGGTGTGGGTAGGCAGACAGCAGCTCATCCACCATGATCACAGAGGCTTTACGATGGAAATTTCCTGCAGCCAAGGAACAAAGAAAAATTGAGGTCTTCTTCCAGCAGTCTCTTTCTCTGCCCTATGTGTCTCTCAGAAGAATAAACTCACAGATTCCAGAAATCCTTTGTAAGAACCATTCCTTCAGGCTCCGCCATTCAAAATATCCCTCCTCTGTCCTTAATTTCTGTCTTTACATGTCCTGCATTTCTGTCTTTAAATAAATTGCCAACATAGTATCTCCACTCATGCTCATTATAGAGAATTAAATCTGCTTTGCACAGTTCATCACAGGCCTGCATTAGGTGGATCACTGCTGCCACAGCAGCTATTCCACCAAGGTAGAAATGGGCCTGCAGTAAAGCTGCATTAATTCCACTGTTACAGTCCACACTTCTGTGAGGATCTTGGCCTCACCCCCATTAACTGTACACGGGGCTGAGGAAATTGTCACTGTCTTCCTGCGAGGTACCAGTGCAAATGAAAAGCAGATTCCTGCATCCTGGGCTCAGAGCTCATGGCTGGGAAGTGCCATCAAACCTGGCAGCAAGTGCACGTGCCAGTCCATGGGGTGCAACCCACAGTGCAGGAGCAAAGGAAACAAGGAGATGGGGGCAGGTACTTGAATTGCGCTTCAGCTGAGGCACAGTACCAGCACCTATTACCTATGGGGTGGGACAGTGTCAGCATCCATCCTTTCTGTGCCTGGATGCTACATCAGGCTGTGAATTCTGGGCCAGGACTGGGACTACAGCAGGGAAACCTCAGGTCTTCACAAACACACCCCTGCTTTGGTTTATTAAAACTAGCGCTGAACACTGGCAAATATTTCATGGCATACTATTTATTACCATCACTGTTAGTCTTATAGAAGAGCACCTCCTCAGCCTTAGTGTCACTTTTTTTCTGACTGAGAAGGTTTCCATGGACTGGGGTAGATAAGGGGGGTCATCCATATTCCAAAAAGTCAAACCAACCAGATAGCTTTTCCTTGTGACTTTTTCCATGCTGACATTTCCTGCATGGCACTTGGGGGAACTACCCCAAACACAGAAATTCTTCTGTTTGATTCTCTTTGGTCCTCTGTTCAGAAAAGGCCCCAGAAAACAAACAGTAGTGTTTGAAACACTCAGGCAACCTGTTGCAAAGGGTGCTGTTTGCAACCCCATGCTACCAGCTAGTGTGTACAGCAGCACCACTTGCCTATCTGGGCCTCTGGTGGCCCACTGCCAAGTAAATATAGGAACAATCTGCAAGAAAATGAAGCAATCCTTTAGTCTTCCTTCCTCAGACAGTTTGAGTAACCGCAAGTGTCCAAAACAAAAAATTACCAGCAGTCGTGCAGTGTCATGCAAAGATGCATTCCGGGGAGATTTAAACCAAATCCCACAATCAGAACTGCCTCATTTGTTCATAACCTGGAGGCCACTGGGTAAACCTAGATGACTAAGGCCAAAGTTTATGCTTACTGAGTTCTACCAGTCTAGCTTTTCTGGTACAGTGTAGTCATCTTGCCAGCACAGTTTTGCTGTTGAGAGCCCCAGGCTACAGATAGCCTTTCCCATGAAAGCAGCTTCCCCAAATCAGAGTGCACAGCAACAGGGCAGTAACATGATAGCTGGCCTCTTTTAGACTCAAAGGGTTCAATGTCAGTAAATAAACCCCTCTACATTTCCTGTTTAGTTGTTTACTATATACAGACTATGTCTTTCAACCACTGTTTACAGGAAAAGAGAGACCTGGTTTTGTTAATTTTTTTTTAGTCCAGTGAAACAAAAAGGGCAGCCCATCTATAGACAGACCAGGACTGCTTTAGGCAAACTAGGGCTCCTTCCCAATTTAAACCAGTGACTGGAGGGGTGGGGTGGTAGTGTTATTCCTGATGACAGGTGCATATAAATCTCAAGCAGTTACTGCACACGTTTGTTGATTGTTGCAAAGATAAAAAATTATCCCCTGTAAATACAGTTTAGCACATGCTTGCAAATGCACACATAGAACTACTGCTGCTGAGCTATGGAGTGGGTGATTGTTTTTTTAAGATGAAGAAATACAATCATTTTTATACATGATTGTGACTAAAGTAAAACAGGAGCAGATTTCAGCCAAAGTGAAATCCACTTAAAGATCATTTACATGGAAAAGTTATGCACATTCAATACAGTATGTGCAATAAGAGCACGCTACCTAGACCAAAACAAAGTCCACACTCTCCCTTCACTGAAATGTGTACGTCAGTATAAGTAAGGCCTTTTTCCCTGCTGAGTTTATGTTGCTTTGGAATGGAGTTAAATTTTAACTGGAGGTACTAGATGTAAATGGGCATCTTCAGTGCAGAATAACAGTGCCCACAGAAAGATTTAAAATGACACGGCTGTAAAGGTCTAAATAAGTAGCCCCTGGGCAAGCCAGGCTTGAAGCTGAAGGAGTTCTTTCAGCCAGGCTCTTGTCCAGCAGCAAGAACTATCCACAGGAGGCCTGAGCTGTATCCAGCAGCAAAGGATCACCACACTGTACTGCCAGGCACAGGAGACATGACCACCTGGCAGAGGGTTACAAAAGGGTCACCTTCCTGTCTATTTCATGGCTGATAAGACAGAAGCAGTCCACAATGTATGACTAGCAGGCAAACTTGTAAACATTCAGAATGATGTGAGCAAGCAGGGTGACTTACTGGAACAGTTACCTTTCTTTAGTAATACCACTGTGGCATCACAGTTGCTGTTATCGTCCATTTCTGTGTTATTTGCTAAACCATTCACCATATTTGCAGAGTTTTTTGTCTTCCTTTCAAAGCAGTGATGGATGGTTGAGTTGTACCTGCACAAATGAAACAAACTCCAGATGTACCTTTGCTCTTTCTATGTGGATTTCCTGACACTTTTCCTTTCCTAGACTTAAATCCTGTGTGATCCAATTAAGGCAAGGAAGAAAACCCCTCTGGTTTTAAGGAAATCTAGCCACAGTATGCCAGAGCTCTAACTAAATTGTATACAATGCACCCTCTCCATACCCAGAAGGCTATGAAAGATACAAGACATGAATCTTGAATGACATATGCTTATATAGTACGTGAAGTTAACCCACTGTATAGCAAATAATTACAGGATTACTTGTCATCATCCAAATTTATTTTTATCACATAATCACACCAAAGCATGTGAAGACCTACCACAGAAACACAAGACCATATGCTAAGCTCTGTTTCAGCTTTGGGGGAAAAAAAAAATAATATTTGTTTCTTATTTTGAGTAACCAGGAGGTGACATAAACATGAGCCGAGGATCCCACCGTGATACTCAAAGGCAAGGGTAGACCACTGTGAACACCTGGCTAAGGTCCCTAACCAGGTTGACAATCTCCCCAGCTATATCCAAACAGGTCTGAAACATCTGTTGACACTACAGCATGTCTTTCAGAAAAAAAATCCGTTCTAGATTCAGACATTACAACTGCCTGTTTTGCTAGTCAGTTAATTGTTGCAAGGGTGAAGTTACCCTCCATGTTTAAGAAAAAGTTTCTAATTATTAGAATTGAGATGAATTCTGACTTGTGTTCCCTTCAACCCAGCCTGAGTGTTTTGCTGTTCTCACTGAGAATTGCTCTCACAATATTTATTCTATTCATCATTTCAAAACAAATCTCTACTCTTACTTGTTGAGACAAGACCACTGGTGTGCTTGGCAGCTGGTAGGTTTTGTTGAATGTTCCAGTTTAAATCTGGGTTTCCTTTCCACTGGTTTTTAAAAACAAGGCAGGAGGAGGGGAACCAAACAGCAGAACAGACTAGCTTTGCTAGCATGAACTTGCATGAAAGAAGTTACGTGGGTCGGATACTCAGAATATCAATGCTGATTGTGCTGTACTTTTACCATGGGTCTCCAAGCAAGCAAGAACAAATTGCTGTGGAGTTTTTCACCCATAAAAAGCAGACTGGAATCTCCTGCATGTTTATTTCTGAGTATGGATGCTAAAGTGAAGTCAGAAGAGGCTGCTTTGGTAGGACTCGGACGCAGATTTGGTCCTCTGCCCTGCTACAGACTTGCTGCATTAGCCTTGGTCGGTTCACACAGAGTGAGATCTGTAAAGCATCATCCATCTTTAGATGTCTGATCCTCAGATCTGTAGTAGGGGAATAAGCAGCCCCTTCCTGCAGCAGGTAAGTACATGACAGGGCAAGGTGCTTTAAACCCTGCTATTGGAAGTGCTGCTGGCATGGAAGCTGGGTGATGAAATGGAAGCCCTGCCCACAGCCTGTGGGTCTCCTTAATTAACTCTGAAATCTCTGGAAAAGCACTGAAGCAGGAGGCCTTACAATCTAAGCAAGCTGAGGGTGTATTTGACTTACTTCATGATAACGATGTAGATGACATACATCAGCACTAAGATTAAGGACTCCCACCTGCAAACAAGAGTGACACAGAAAACACATCAGAGCAGGGCACAGCAGTCAGCTGCCCAAGTTCAGCCATTCCCCCATCTGTCACACCACAAACTTGCGGAAAGGCTTGACCCTCTTGAGCTGTCTTAATACCTCCAGAAAAGGGCATGCATAAAGAAATGTCTCACACACCCATGTGTGATGCCTCCTTTGTTTTCTTGCCTTCTGCTTTCGTTTTACTTGGCCAAATCAACCTGTCAGGTAAGAACAAGTGACTAAACCTGTAAGTTCAGTGAACAAATTGTGTACCCAAGGAACACTGACACTTCTGTAAGGACAATACCTGTGGGGGCTGCCGTACAGGGAGGGGAGCAGTTGTCCTGCTCTGCCTGCACAGGTGTAAAGCAGATCTCTGGGCTTTCTGAGTATGCTATCAAGCACACAGATCATGTCAAGGTGACCTAAACAAGGGGCAGCTGTTCTTTCACTACTGCTGCTGCATAACCACTGAGAATGCAGCAGGCAGCAGTTTAAACTGCTGATTAGATATAGTCAGGTTTTTCTCCACTGTTTCTGTGTGAAACTAATGAAATTTGTATGAAAACAAAATAGAATACGACTTTTAGAACTTGTTTCTAGGTAATCTTTTTCACTGACCAAAATGCTGTATTCTGCATAGTTCTCTATGGCCAACTGCCAGTTCTTGTGGAAATAATCTGTTATCAGGCTGCTATATACTAAAACTCATGGGCCATTTTCTCTTTAAGGATTTTGAGACACTGCACTAATCATACCAATATCTCATTCCCTGCTTCTGGCAGTTCAAGACTTGGCTTCCACATTGATGTGTTTTTGTTGAAGGGCACAATCAAACTGGGCCTCAAGTCAATTTTAGTTAAAAAAACAAAACAAAACAAAGAAAAACAAGCAATTGCAAAACTTGGTGTTTCAGAAATCCTTCTCTGAAATTAAACATAAATCCCCCAGTGAGAATAAGTTCAAGAAAACATGCAACCCAAAAAGCCTGACTCCCCCTAGTGCTTGTAATCTAAATAATACTGGCTGTGCATGAAATCAAAGCTACCACTGTCACTCTACAAGCCCTGAGACGTGCTTAAAACAAAACCATGAAAACAAAACAACTGAAAGTACACTTTTAGAAGCGTTTGAAACCCTCCCAGCCTACCATACCTACTGCAGTACATTTAAGCACATTCATGGGGATATTAACATATATATTTTTTTTTCTTGAAACTGGTCTTTTGCTCTTTAATGTTGTTTTAGGAGCTTTAGTGTTTTAAATTACTAGAAATCTAAATACTGGAACACACTTATGACTGCTTGGGTGGCCCTTTCCATTCCCAGATGGCTGACATCCCTAGCATGCCAGCGCCCAAGCAGCAGTCTCTGCCTCTGCTGAGCACATCGCCACCCTGAGATGCTGCAGACTGGGCAGAGGGCACCAACTGTCACACCTATATCGGGAAATAACATGAGTGACACTCTCCTAGACTTTCCTCTCCGTCTCACAAAATGAGTTATTCTAGCCCATCTTGTTCTGAGGTTTCTCATGCAGCAGGAAACTGCTGCCTGAATTGCTCTGCGGAACTTTTTAGCTTCCCCCTCCTCTTTTGGTGAACCATACTTATTGCAGCTTTTGTGGTATAAGCAGAAAAAATGAAAAGAAAAGGGATTCATGGCCAGATATACTTACCAGGAAACTTTTTCGTCATAAATAAACTGTGGAGAAAAGGTTTAAAAATAGGCATGTTATACACAAGATCACAGCTGAAAACAGCTTATCACCTCAGCAGGGGACAGAAGGGGCAGAGCATCCCAGGGCTCAGGGCAATGGGCTTAAGCTCTAATCTGTTTTGGCACTGCCCTCCTACCCAGCCTTTGAACTTCTGAACCCTCAGTTTCTCTCACCTAGTAAAGGCAGGCAGGTACTCCTTCCCAAACACCACGGGATTCTTGTGTAACTACGGCTATTGCAGCAGGGAGGCAGAGGCAGTTACAGGGAAAACAGAGGTGAGTCAGAGAGGGGGCTGTACCCGCCTCTGAAGTGCATGGCTGGTTTCACCAGAGACACGGCCTCTTCCCCCAACCTGTTCTTGGGTGGCAACTGGGCAACCAGTATGCAGATTTACAGCCAGCTCCACAGCTGCTGTGAAATTTTGCTGGCTAGAAACTGGGACCAGGGCATTATTTCCTTAAGGCTTATGTGATCACTACCCCAGCAGAGTTTAACTACTGTGATAGTCATTTTAGCAGACCTGCAGATAGATGCTGAAGCCTCCCCTAACAATGCTGCACAAACCTCCTGGGCAGAGAAATGAGTCTCTTGTGTGTGTAAAATGCTCTGTGGTGGGGAAGAAAGAGCAGTATGCCAGAGAGGTGAGGGGTGTCTGGGCAGAGGCTCTGGGGGGTCTGAAGAGGCAGACATCGGGGGGCGGCCGGCAGGTGGCTGCAGTGCTCCACAGCTGGGCCCTTCCCCACTCCCCGCTCCACACCAGCCCTGCTGGAAGCAGCCGGGGCTGCCACCCTCACTTGCCGGCAACACCCCTGTGGCTCCGCGTCTCCTTCCACCTCAGAGGAGCATCTGTGGAGGCTGCTCTCGCTTGGCTGCTCTCGCTCTCGGCTGCTGCTCATAGAGCGGGGCAGCTCAGCGCGGCTCAACCCACCTGCCACGGCTGCTGCGGCACGAGGGCGGCCTGGTTTGTGCTGTGCCCGGAGGGCCAGAGGGTGGCGGAGGGCCAGAGGGCGGCCAGAGGGCCAGAGGGTGACGAGCCTCTGAGAGCACAGTGGAACGCTTCCCTTCAGCTATACAGCCTGTAAACAGCAAATCCTGCGTGACAGCCAGCACCAAGCAATAGTTACATCGGTTACTGGAAGAAAACATGACCACAAAACATTATGTGAGTTGTAAGTTACAGCTCCCAGTCACTGTGATCTGATCTGACAAAGCCTGTTTTAGGTTACAGTGTGTTGGTGTGATGGGACATGAAAGCAAGTGCATTGACCTTTGTGACTAAAAATAGCACGCATCTCACTTTTGTCACTAATGACTCTGACCGCGTCCCTTCGAGTTAAGATACACAGGCATCTTTTTCCTTTCAAGGGAAATAAGGAGTAGCAGTTTTGTCGCACTCTACAAGAAGACAAGGTAGCTTTGTAACACTATTTTAAGGTTAAAAAAAGAAATTACAGGGCTGAATCAAGGTGAAGTAAGTACTGTAAGTGAAGCTTATCCACTTCTAATCTCTGTGATTTAGAGTTCACTCATTCTTATCAAATGGCCTGGAGCACCAAACAGGTGAGTTTATACTGCTTTGCTATTTATTACTGCAGCACTACAATTGCTTTGCTAGTGGAAATGGAAAGAGACAAAGTCACATTGATTTACCCAGCAGAATATCAAGCTTTTTAAAGTTGCTGAATCTCAACATTGGCAGGAATGTATTTATTTCCCCTTAGGTGTATTTATGATTAGTAAAGACACCAGTGGAGTGCAACTTACAATACAGCACCACAAGCTGCTGTTTAAAATAATATGAGAGTAACCTTCTACAAGCAATACCATCCGTCAAGAAAGATAGTTGTATTTCATCTGAAGCGAAGACTCAGTGCCCTGATGTGGCAAATTATCCCTATATGGCAAAGCATTTAAACGCCTTCTAAAATTTAAAGCTCACAGAAATCTAACAAAGGGGGAACCACATGCAGGTCATGCTGTGCTCTGCATGGAGCCCTTGGCTTGGGGACTGGGGAGTCAGTATTTGAATAACAATGTACTGCCACCTAAACTTGATTCTGCCTTAAAAGGGTAGGAAAGATGATCCAAGCCACTGTGTAGCCAGGGGTCCCTGGGTGAGTGAAGGGGAGGAGAAACTTCTTAAACTGAAGCAGTGTTTGACTCAAAGGAAAAATCCTCATTTGTCATCATCTGGGGAGAAACATTGCATATAAAAGGGTTGGTAAATCAGCTGGGAGCTAAATCTTTAGCCATTTAAAATGTTCTCTTCCTCCCACCTTTCTCTATTTTAACAGGTGTTTAAAATTCATCTGCAATGACCGCTGTGGAGTAATGCTCAAGAGAAGTGGGACAGGGTCTGCATCTCCCAAGCCACAATTAGTCACGTAGTGCTGTAACGTGGGAATAAGACTATTTTGGCAATACCTTTGAGCCTCCACTAATGCCTGGAGTTGCACAGTCCTGCTGCCCTGACTGCAGGAAGGACCTTGAACCTCACAGCCGATGAGCAGAAGAGTGGACATACACTGGGAGAGAAGCTAACCCAAGGCTTAGGAAAAAATAATAATATCCTGATATTATGGGGTACCCTCCCAAAATAAAAGGACTTATGCAGTTCTGTAATTATGAAGAAATAACATATAGGAAAAAAGTCTTAAGGATAACAGAGACATCTGTTCAACGAGCCATACAACTTTCTCATTACACAGGATACATAGCTAAGAATTTCAGGGGTGCACAGGACAAAATACAATAGAGAATGGTTCTCAACCTCCTGGCAGTTGACAATGACAAGGATGAACAAGCCACGAAGGAAACCTACCTGACTGTAAGAATTTAAAAATGGATGACAGATTCAACAGATTTTTAACTTGTCTGCCACCATGCAATAAAGGAAAATACTCTCCTCCCAGAAAATATGCAACGGCACATGGGATCTAAGGACATGACTGGTGACAGCCAACCACTAAGGGGAAACTGTGCCTAACAAATCTGGTGGCCTTCTACAATGGGGTTACAGCATTGGTGGATAAGGGAAGAGCAACTGACATCACCTACCTGGACTTGTGCAAAGCCTTTGACACTGTTCCACACAATATCCTTGCCTCTAAATTAGAGATAAATGGATTTGATGGATGGACCACTCAGTGGATAGGGAATTGGCTGGATGGTCACACTCAAACAGTTGCAGTCAATGGTTCAAAGTCCAAGTGGAGGGTGGTGACAAGTGGCATTCCTCAGGGGTCGGTGTTGGAACCGGTGCTGTTTAATGGTGACATGGACAGTGGGACTGAGTGCACCCTCAGTAAGTTTGTTGATGACACCAAGCTATGTGGTGTGATTGATGCGCTGGAGGGAAAGGATCCATCCAGAGGGACCTGGACAGGCTTGAGTGGTGGGCTCAGGAGAACCTCATGAACAAGGCCAAGTGCAAGGTCCTACACATGGGTTGAGGCAATCCCAAGCACAAGTACAGGCTGGGCAAGGAGCGGATGGAGAGCAGCCCTGCGGGGAAGGACTTGGGGGCACTAGTAGATGAAAAACTGTGAGCCAGCAATGTGCACTCACAGCCCAGAAAGCCAAGCGTGTCCTGGGCTGCATCAAGAGAACTGTGGCCAGCAGGTCGAGGGAGGTGATTCTCTTCCTCTGATCTGCTCTTGTGAGACCCCACCTGCAGTGCTGAGTCCAGCTCTGGGGCCCACAGCATGAGAAGGACACGGACCTGCTCAAGCAGGTCCAAAGCAGGCCACAAAGATCATCAGGGGGCTGAAGCACCTCCCTTCTGAGGACAGGTTGAGGCAGTTGGGGTTGTTCAGCCCAGAGAAGAGAAGGATCCGGAGACACCTTAAAGCAGCCTTCCAGTACTTAAAGGGGCTACAGGAAAGCTGGGGAGGGACTCTGTATCAGGGAGTGTAGGGATAGGACAAGGGGTAATGGTTTTAAACTGAAAGAGGGTAGATTTAGATGACATAAGGAAGAAATTCTTTCCTGTGAGGGTGGCGAGACACTGAACCAGCTTGCCCAGAGAAGCTGTGGCTGCCCCCTCCCTGGCAGTGTTCAAGGCCAGGTTGGACGGGGCTTTGAGCAGCCTGGTCTAATGGAAGGTGTCCCTGTCTATGGCAGGAGGTTTGGAATTAGATGAGCTTTAAGGTCCAACCCAGCCCATTCTATAATTCTATGAAACACCCGATCCAAACAACAGGAGGCAAAATGCCTGGCAGCTGGTCACATCTGTGCTTCCTGTGGAGTAAACTAAGAGAATGCCTGCTAGATGTATTTAAGCTTATGCAATGTAATTTATTACAATTAGTGTGTGTGGCCAAGTTTGTTGTTTAGGAACACTTTTTGGTATGAAGTTACTGTCAAAGCAAAAAAAAAAGTTTTTTGTTTTGTCGCTTGTTCCTAGTAATTATGTAGATAAGTTTAATCAGGTGCAAAAAGGCTGACCTTGCAGTGTGCGGTATAAAAGTACAAACAGGTTGAGGCAAACGCTCTGTTTGAGATTAGACAAGATTGCACCTACAGAACATATATAGTATATAGCCATGTGCAGAATGAAGGCACAACAAAACAGACTGTTGAAACTGTGACTAATGAAAGTAGCCTAAATTTCAGAAAGTGTTCATCTTTTGACTCTAAAGTTCCCTTCTTGCTCGTAACCTCATAAAATCACCCTTTCTTAGAGAATCTAGGGTCCTAGACGAGGCTGGGGAAAAAAAAAAATCGAAGTAGCAACTGTTACCAGGAAACTCAGTTGGTACATTTCCTGACTTTGTCTGGTATCGGTTGCAAAGGTAATGCTAGTCAGTGTTAACATTTTTTCACTGTATAGCCCAATTCTGAGAGATTCGGAGTACTTACAGAGCTTGATGAAAGCTGAAACAGGAGTGGCACTAAGAATTACTGAAACTGTAGCCTTCATTAGAGGATTCGCTGCTAGTGTGCACTGAACATAACCCATCCCAATTATGTGTGGAAAAACTGTTTTGTAGTTGTTGAGGACCTCTTTCCTCTGGGCACAAATGCTGCCTCCTTACAGGTCAGTTAGACATTTTTTAGGAAGCCATGAGGGTCGCTGTCAAGAGAGGACTGACCAATGCACGTGCTCCAGAGCTGGTGGTGGGACTGCAGCACGGGATTTGAGCTCTGCACTTTGAGGCTGCACGGGGAGTGGTGCACTGCACTTCCCCCCAGCTATCACTCTGGGCTCTCTAGATACTTCTCCATCTCTTACCCTTGGGCCAAGCTTTTCTACAGAACCAGGGAGACCACAAGTACATTATTCCACAAGCAGAAAACTACATGACTCCTGGAGCTAGGATCTTAGCTACAAGACTATGATTTATCAGCAGGTACCCTTTACAGGTGGCAGTAGACACGTGGGCCTTCAAAAACTTACCACAATGAGTGCAACAACAGACAGTGTATAGTAGATTGAATCTCTCAAGAGACTCCACGATGACAGTGCAACGACCTGGGAAAACAGTCAAAGAGAGGATGTCAGCCAGGCTCACACCAGCATGACTGTCACACCAACAGTGTGTGCCAAAGAAGCCCGTCATTCTGTGTGAACTGTCCCCAGGCATGCTAGGACATAAAAAAGAGACCCAAGCCAGGAAACGCACTGGCTTTCTGCAGCTGCTTGAGCAACAGCCACCAGGGAAATGGGGGGATGGCCAAATCTGAAGAGTAAAAGGCATAAGGTCACAGGCAGCAGATGATTTCCATGCAAAGTCGCAGACACGCTGAATCACACCAGTGCTGTCAAAGCCATGAAAAGGGGAATCAAGACCCAGGTATTTACGTATGACAGAGAAGTTTTCTATGAGCTCAGCCGGCTATCTGATATCCTTTTCCCCCCTGAAATCTCTCCTGTACACACCCCAGAGCCTGCAGCAGCAGCAACAGTCCCCAACTGCTGTCTAGAAATGTGGGAACTCCCCATCCTTGTTCTACCACCGTGTGCGTAAATCCACTGTGAGTCCAGCTGCTGGTATCTCATACACTACAGGAATTTTAGATTGCTGGATGACCGGCTTGTCCTTACCAAAAATGTCAACTTGACTATGCTGACTCATTCAGGTGAGGATAACGTGGGCAACAGAAATCACACTGCAGAAACAAGAGGCTGACAGCACAGAGCAGCCAGATCCCCAGTATGTTGCTAGGCTGAGCCTCGGCACAGCCACGGCTTCACCCACCACACTGATGGGTATCACTACAGCTCCATGTACATTTGCACAGGTTTTGGGACAAATGCTCAAGCTAAAGAGTTAAGAACAAAAAACCCAGGAATTTATATGCAACAGAGGACAAAATGGGATCGCTGTGCAGTTCATTTCATTTGACACCTTCCAAAGCCATGGAAATTAGGAGAAATCATCACTGCAGGTGGATCGAGCCTGCAATTCAGATCTTAGAAGAAAAAAAATATCAGTGAACAAGTTAGTTTCTAACTTCATTAATAGTATTCAAAAGGACAGATTACAAGCAGTCATGTGGTGGTAACATCTTCAGTATGATTGTATTTTTTGCAGCCCTAGGAAGTCCCCTCAATACAAGCTTCTCCTCAAATCTTTATTTTGCATTTCTGTCGTGCATTTCAAATGCTGTGGGTCACATACTTCCCAGGTGTAAATCACAAGAAGACAAATGGGAGATGGCTAATTTACACTGATTTAGATCTGGCCCTGAATGTATAAATGAATTTTCTGGCTACATACTCCAGTTATGCTTGTGCATGAATTCAGCCAAACAAACAGTAACTTCATTTTCATTTCTATGGTATCTAAAGAAAGGTCCTATTTCAGAGTGCTAACAAAAATAGTTTCCCAGATTTCTCTGCATATTAACTCTTACAAATTGGAATTTTCCAGTACTGCTAGCAAAACAAATGCTGTGAAAAGATACTGACCATTATACTTAAAAATCTCTGCAGCCTCTTAATACTATGGCTTTTTAAAGTGGATGTAATTATGCCCACTGTAAAGTCTCTTTATTGACATGTAAGAAACTCCTACCTAAAATAAAATAGCAGGCCTTTAAAGTCTTTGAGTCAGATTAGATTTATACTAGCTGACAATACATTTCAATGCATGTAGGGATAGATGAATGGAGATGCTTTATGATGGAAATTTCCAAATGTAGAAACTTGGACTTGGGTTCATAATTCTATTCAGAGATCTTTAATTAAATCTTGGATAGTGGCCCCTTCATTTTGATTGAGCAATTTTTGTAAGAGTTTATTAAATAATTTGACATTATTCCACTCAGCTTTTACGATGCTGCTTAAGGTCCTATGCACTTTTCTCAGCATGGATCCTGGTGGGGATTTTATAGCTCGAAACTTAAGCTCTGTATATTAAAAGTTACAATATTTCTGAAACAAATGACAAATCCCATATGAACAGGCATGCAGGCAACTGTCGCTATTCTATCTAATAAACTCTCTCCTGGGTGTGAGGGGTGTCACCATGCAGCACAGCATACCCGTGAAAGCAAGATGTCCGGGTTACTATGAGTCAAGCCAGTAACTCTCCTGCTCTTTGATACTCTACAATAATCTTGAAGGTAACGTGCAATATAGTTCTGCTCAATTTCCTCAGACACCTGAATGAGCACGTTAAGATCCAGATGCTTAAATCCAGCTATCTGGCAGGGACCTAGTGCACAGAACTCATAGACCAGGATACTGTGGGAATTGCAAGGACTCTTGCATTGATTTCAGATTGGATTGAAGGGAACATGCTCACGCCTGGGACTTGTACAGGCTGCTCACATTTCACAGACAACATAGTAGGTCTCCCTGATGCAGTAACTACGGGGAAATTAAATTGCGGCTCTCCTTAGGGCACAAGTCATTTAACTGAAGTCTTTGAACCATTTGATCACTGGGAAGAACAATCCGATATAGGAAAGCTGTGCACCTAAGGTAACGTGCACCAAGGGTAAAAAGAGCTAATTAGCACTGAGGGAAATGGCAGTACTTTTAGCCTGCTGACAAGAATCATGTCTAGTTATAACTGTCAAGACCCTGAATGCCTAAGTTGTGCCATACAGTCTTGCAGCAACCAAGGATTCCACATAAATCTTAATACACTGGAAACCACTTAAATTACAGTTTAGAAGACTAAGGCAGAAGGGAAATCAGGGAAGCAATCAGATTGAGTAAAAACATGATCTAATTTGAGTTTTAAATCAGCAATACTGTAATGTAGCAGAGAGCTGGTCCTTGGGAGCCAAGCATAAAGAGGCAGCTGTAAAAGCACTGATTGTCAGGTTACACATTGAAATCTCAGACAAGTGCCCATTAGCCCTCCCTTGAGTACTACACTGGGGACTAAATCTGGCACCCTCAGAGCTGAAAGGAAGAGCTCTTTAGTCCAGGCTTAAATGAGAGCAACTCCTGACAAGTCCAACACAGATGAGGACCCATAGCACATGCTCACCTGAAAGCTGCAGCATTGTTCCTATAGGTAAAACAACCCATATTAGATATTTGGTTTCTCACTGGTAAATTTTCACCCTGCAAACTCTTATGTATAACATTTACTATTCAGAATGCTTATTTCCCTTTTTGAAGGGCTGGAGAGCAGAGAAATCAAGATTTTATCAATTTCAGCTTGATTTCTATAGTTCTTAACTCCTGAAGCAGTGGCCCCATGCAGCACACACAATCTTCACCATCTAGCACACACATGGAGATAAGTCACCAGGGAGAAAATCACTAAAAATCAGACACTGGCACCTGCTGCTCATGGCACCTAAGTTAGCTCAGTGCACCCAGGACCTCAGTGGCAATATACTCCATGTCTCATCTTAGGGCTTCACCATTTAAAAAAAAGACTTATCTCTCTTCTGGTTTTCCAAATTATTCCTCTCCCCTTAGCAGTGCAGAAGCTCTTCCATCCAGAAGAGACCTGGTGGCAGAGGCCATCCAGCTGGCTGTTTTAAAGCCTGCTACTCATCTGCTCCCCTCTTTACAGTGATGGGCCCAAGATGAAGCATGTGATGCAGAATATGGCTGCTGCTACCTTAGTAAAGATGTGTGTGCTCCTACTGCTGCCAATGAAGGCACAAAGCAGTCCAGAGAGGCACGTGCTGCTGGATATTTTATCTGTTTAACTTTCTGGGGGAAGCATCTTGAACATTATCTAAGTACATCCATGTTCTTCAGGAATCATTTTCATGCTGAATTGTTCCAGGGCTTTTCTTCCTCTCATAGCCCGTTCTTTGCTTGACATTCTTGGGATAAATGATCAGCCACAAACACTGCCTGGAAATGCTAGGCTTTGGAAGCAATCTTCCTAATCTTGTTTCTCTGTTACCCTCTGGCATAGAAGGTCTAGATTTTCAGGTACTAAGAGCTAATAACATAATTTGTTTATGTGGAAAGGCAGGAATGCTTGGGCAAGGGTCAAAAGATTAAGACAATCCCCACAGCGATTAGCCTTTAAGAGTCTGTGGAGATCAACTGAGACACACCAATGGCGAATCCACCACTCAGTGCCTCACAGCTGGAAGCATCTCCTTCCTGTTACTGACTTCTCATGCGTAGTTTGGTTCATTGATGTTAGATCTTGATAGAGAGACTGACGTTCAGCAAAATGTGGTTTGGGGCAAAAACGAACATTTCTCATGAGTTTTAAAGGGAAGTGGTAGAACGTCTCTAATTCATTAGATGTAGTTTAATATATATCTCCTGCAGCACTGCATCACAAGCAAATGTTCCTTAGTGACTGACCACGGTTGCTGTTGGCTAGGCCTTCTGTGCAGCTCTGGGGTCCATGGGTACTTGCAAATTAATCACTAGTCTGGAATTTTGTTCCACATAATTTGAATGAGCCTGTACTGAGAGTCACAAAGCTCTTTTCCAGAGAAGCAGCTTTTTCTTTTAATGGTCAGCTACAGCGTGAAAGATGACTGTAAACTGAAGACAGCTTTACCTGGAAATGCTGCAAGACAGGTTGAGATAACAGGCAGCGAACACAAGCCCCTTTTCCCTACTGCTGTCTTCTCCCCCTCCTCAGAGATGGGAAGCCAAGGGAGTATGTACCACTGCCAGGCTCTGCGAGGCTGAGGACCAGAGGAGCAGGCAGGCAACTGGATGGTTTCACAGCTTCTTCAAGTTTTCATTCAAGATGTTTAAATTCTCATTAAGGGCTTGTCAAAAGGCATCCAGATGCAGAAAATGTGAGTCAGTCTTCATGCTGCCCCTCTTTGATTTGGACTCCACAGAAGTTACTAGGGAAGCTCTTACACCACCCTAACAGAGGCTGGGATCTGGTTTTTTGGATGCTCATTTGTGCTGACTGACAAAACTCTTGCTCACTGTGATACCTTGCAGGCACCCTGAAACATCACAAACAGCTGGCAGCATGCTTTGTCAGCCTCTTCAACTGGCTGCAGCAAGACACGCAGTGGAAATCTCCTTGCATGCTACTCCTGGTTTGCAGGAGCTACTCTCAGAGCTGA